TAGGAGTAGGAGTCAAGCTAGCCAGCTCGAGCGAGTCACGCATGGCATGCCCAGTCCCACCCGCCCTCCCACAACATAAGAAGCAAAGCTGGCACAACTGGGGGCCGAAGTCACACCGGCCAGCCGGTTTGGTACAGCTGAGGCGGCCGCGATGGCGGTTGCCGACGGGAACTGGCGAGCGCGTGTTGAATGCCGCGCACGCATTGCCAGACGAGTCGAGAATGGCCCGGTACACCGCAGGAAGCCAGAGGTGGCCGGAGGAAGCCCGACGGTCTGACAGGACACCCCAAAGCATTTTTGTGAAAAAGCATTGGGTTTTTGATGTTTTATGTTGAAATGCTTGCAAACACACGGTGTTCGGTAGGATTCTGACATGAACGCGCGAGTGTGCTCTTTGTGGTATTTTTGCACAGGATTCGCGGCCTGGGTGCATGACAGAGCATCGCGAGTGCACCGCGCGATGACGTGAAATCGCTGGATTTGACCGAATTCTTAAGATTCCTATGGTTTTCCTATGATTTCAGCAAGAGAGCCCGGGCGGGAAATTTGTACAATTTTTGCGAAAAAAAGCATTGGGTTTTTGATGTTTTTATGTTGAAATGCTTGCGAACACACGGTGTTCGGTAGGATTCTGACATGAACGCGCGCGTGTGCTCTTTGTGGTATTTTTTGCAATGGATTATCGCCGTGGACGACAGGACGTCCATGTCGAGAGGAAAAAATAAGAAAAATGTTGATGTTGTATTGTTTTTTACAGGTTAGGATGGGACCACCCGGATGCGCCCGCTATCTGCCGGCCTGAGGGGGGAGTAGGAGTATATTCCAATAAGGAATAAGGATAGGTGCAAGCGTAGGCGTAGGCGTAGGAGTATGAGTAGGAGCAGGGGCAGGACTCATCTGGTCAAAATTCGCCTTGGCGCCTGTAGTAGTTCGGTTCACCAACCAATTCAAAGCATCGGCAACCTCATTGAAATCCCGGCGGGCCCGCCTAGCGAGCTGAGAAGCCCCGCGGCTCTGGATCTGCGGCCAGTTCCCCTCATGGTCATCCAGCCTCGGCAGGGGGAAGAGCGAGAGCAGGTCCACCCCGACTTCACGCGTGGGCTGAACACTACCGGCGGGACGCCCACCCCAGCCAGCGAGAGCGGTCATGCCGCCTCGGGCGCGGTGAGCTTGCCGCCGCGCCCAGCTGCCCCACGTCCGTCGCCGCCTCGATCTTCTCCACGACCTCGTCCGCGACCGCGCCCGCGCCCATCAGCTGCGCCTGGGGGGCCACTCGGGGCCCCCTCTTCTGCCTCCAGCGCCAGGGGGCTCATCGCCGACACGCCGGCGGCGCGGCTCTTCCAGCCCCCCAGCTCCATCTCCTCAGTGTTCCGACGGAAGACGGCCGACCTCAACGCGGGGTCGATGACGCCCCGCGGGCCTGTCACGCCCCTGTAGTGCCGCGGCCCGCCCCACTTCGGTAGCTTGGTGGGGTCGTTTGAGTAGGCCTCCACGATTTGCGACACCATATGGCACAGCACCTTGATGCTCATCATGCTGGCCAAACTGATATGGGCACGACTTCCAGCGTAGTTGATCGCCGAAAGCAAGCCCTTCGTCCCGATGCAAGCGCGGTCAGTCGAGCTGCTGACCCGATCCCGCACCCCCATCTCCAACCACGGCAGGGGGTTGCCACCGTTCGGGTCCCCCATCTTGATCATGTGCTCTACGGTGGAGAGGCCGTCCCATAGGGGCCAGTCGCGGAAGATGTACCGCGTCACCTCGCGGACGACCTCGCGCCAACGGTCGCAGTGCTCCCCACGCCCGTCCTGCTGTGCCCACACCGTCCTGACGTAATCGGCGACCTCGGAGTCAAGCCAGTCCCTCAGGTCCCTGTCGCTCGCCTCCTGGTCGAGAGCCCCGACGGCAGTGGGCACCGCGGCAGACTCGGGGCTCCCCTCCAGCGCCATGCGGCGGCCGCGGCTCAGCCTCTCCAACAGGTTCATGAGCACCCTGGGTCGCCGCCAACGGTGACCGTCGGCCTCCTCCAAGGGGATCGCCTCCGCGACTCGCCGGCTCTCGCCATCGCGGGAGGCGGTGTGGTGGGCGCCGAGCCGCACGCTGCCTTCGGCACAGGCCTCCTCGCGTCCCGCGAGAAGCGTCCCAGGGGAGGCCACGACCCACGCCCGGCCATCAGGCGGGTCCAGGGTCCGCGGGGCACCCCAGGCGTCCGCAGCGGCCGCCTCCACCAGCGGCTTAGCATCAGCCACAGGCGGCGTCGCCGTCCCGCCAACCCCCCCGCTCGTGACTCGTAGAGGGCGGCGGCGACGGAACTCTGAGACGGCCCTCAGCTCGCCCTCCCAAGTGTAATACTGCTCGGGACCCTCCACTGCGTCGTGCTCAGTCTGAGCGGTACGCGCTCGGAGGACGAGGGAGCGAGGCTGGGTCGTGCGCGCGGGCTCCGAGAACCTGTAGAACTCCGTCCCCGCCACCAGCCACGCGAACACCAGCGCGGACGCGCACTCAGGCTCCCAAGGCCGGGCCGACCACGGGCGGCTCCGCCGCGACAGTCGGGTCCTCGGCCCTCGCGCCCAACGAGAGCTTCTCCAGCCGCACCGCGGCCACCGCCTCCACCGAAGGGCAGATCGGCGGCGCCCGGGGGGGACTGTTGGCCAGCAGCGACCCCAGCTCCGCGGCCAGAGCCGCCGCGACGCTCGCCGCACCAGGGCCGGCCGGCGGCGACGGCGGGGACGGCAGCGGAGGCGGCCACGCGGATGCCTGGCAGGTGCGGGCAGGGCAGGTGGCGGAGGCCGCCACCACCGTCGCCAACCAAACGCCCGCCAGCCGCAAACCCGCTCGGGCCGCGGGCGCGCCCGCCGCGACGCCCTCTGCTGGGGTCGGGGTGGCGCCCGGGGCCATGGCCTGGCCCACGCTCGCGCACTTGAGAACAGTCAAAAGGCCATGGAGCACCCCAGACAACAACGTGGAAGCACTCCAATTGGCCTCTTCGGGCCCTCCTGGAGGACCTCTCGGAGGCCTCTTGGGTCGTCTTGGGCCGTCTTGGAGGCTTCTTGGGCGACCTTGGAGGTATCTTGGGCTCTCTTGGGCCGTCTTGGAGGCCGTCTTGGAGCATCTTGGGCGGACTCGGAGGCCATCTTGGACCATCTTGGAGGCCATCTTGGGCCAACGTGGCAATCTTGGAGGCCATCTTGAACCATCTTGGAGGATATTTTTTCCGGATTGAGCTCCTTGAGATCCTTTCCGGGTGGCCGGCGGGACGGGCCGAAGCCCCAGGGGGAGTTCTTGTGGAAAAAGAACCAAACCAAAAGCCATATCGTCCGGCACGCCAGGCACCTCTTTGATAAATCAAAAGGGGGCGGCGCATAGTGGTCTTCGGCACATCCCGCCACCGTGCCTGGGTTGTGGGTTAGAGGCCCCTTGGAAGTTCGTTTGGGCTTCGTGGGAGGCTTCCCGGGGGCCACTTGAAGGCAATATTGGAGGCCTCTTGGGGGCCGTTTGGGGTGCTCGTGGGGCGTCTTTTTGGGCCCCTTTGAGGCCTCGTGGGCCCTGGGGCCTCGAGGGTTCTGTTGGGGGCCTCTTGGGGCTTCCTGGAAGCCTCTTGGGGCGGAAGTCTCGAATGGTCGGTTCGTGTTCACCCTCTTGGGCCCCTCTTGGGGCTGTCTTGGGGCCCTCTTGGGCGATCTTGGGCGCCTCGTGGGCCGTCTTGGGGCGCTCGTGGGCCGTCTTGGGGCTCTCTTGTGCGGCGTGGCGCCCTCTTTGGGTGCATCTTGGGCCGTGTTGAGCTGATTTCTGGGGCCTCGTGGGTTGTCTTGGACCGTCAGAAGCACGAAACAGCGAGAACACGAAAAACCTTCAAACACTATAGGAAAACCTACTTGTTTCGCCTCCAGAGTGTCTCGTGGGAGTCCTTTTGAGAGCATATTGGCAGTCTTGAAGCCCTCTGTGGCTGTCTTCAAGCCACGTTGGACCAATTTTGAAACGCTTTTGTACAGTCTTCGGCTCTCTTGGAGCGCTCTTGGGCCATCTTGGCGCTCTCCTGGACGTCTCTCGGCCACCTTGACGTTTTTTGGCGACCCCCGCCGGGCCCGAAACCGCTGGAAGATAAATGAGTGCACTTTGGAGGGCCTCGGACCCCCTACCCATTTAGATAGGTAGATAGATATACACATACATATGTGTATATACATACATACATACATACATACATACATACATACATACATACACATATATATAGATATAGAAAAAGAAAGAGAGAGAGAGAGAGAGAGAAAGGAAAAAAGAGAGAGAGAGAGAGAGAGAAAACAAAAAAAAAAAAAAAAAAAAAAAAACAACGCGCGCTTCGCGAGCGCTCAGGTTCAACCTCAGACCTGGGCAACGTCTGAATGCCGGGCTGTGCTGCCTGACAGCAGGGTGGCATGATGCTCACGTGAGTGGCAGTCTGCTTCAGACAACCAGGGAGCCGAGGGCCCCGAGCAACACCAGCCGCGGCATCACCAACACCAGAAGCAATGGGGGAAGGCGCCCGAGACGGCGGAGAATGAGGCCGAGGTGGGACCCTCCCCTCATCCCTTTCGGGGCGGGGGCCTTCCCCTGCCCCCTACCCCTACACACTCCCCCTGAACGAGGGCGTTCGGCGGGCCGTTCGAGCGTCAAGGATGGCCCCAAAAGGTTCCAAGAAGGCCCCCACGAACCCAAAGGTGGGCCTCAAAGATAGCGCAAAGTGTGCCAAACTGGTTTAAGATTTCTCCAACACGCCCCCAAAAAAGCCTTCAACACCGCTCCCAGACGGCCCGCAGTGCCACCCTAGCACCCCACGGAAACTTTCAAGAAATCAAACTCCTTCCGAAGCGTTCGAAACATTACGATGTTTGCCTCCTCCCAGTGTCGATTCTGATCGTTCTGAAGGCCAGAAGGCGGCTCCAAGATGGGCCCAAGTCGGCCCCAAAGAGGATCCAGCAGGAGCGAAATACAGCTCCTAAGCCCCGCACCGCCGAGGGGGGGGGGGGGGGAGGGGAGGGGGAGAGGCAGAAGACGCGGGAGATGGACGAGGGAAAAGGAAGGGCGGAGGAAAAGAGAAGGGTGAGAGGGGAGCCTCTCAGCCTCTGAGTCCATCTTGAAGCGTCGGAAGCTGAAAACGGAGTTAAACTAATCAAACAACGCATGATTCTGGCCTCCTGGAAGTCCTCCTAGGGCCTGTTGGGGACCTCTTGGGGAGCTCTGCAAAAAGCCGCTTGGAGGCGTTTCTTGGGGGTGTCTTGGCCTGCAGAGGTCGTCTTGGGCCCTCCCTGTGCAATCATGGGTCCTTCTTTGGGCGCTTTAGGGCCACATTGAAGGTCTCTGGGGCTGTCTTCGGGCCGTCTTTGGGGCCTCGTGGGCTGTCTTAGAGCCCCCTTGGGGTGGCTTGCGGGCCTGTTGGCGGCCTCTCAGGCCGTCGTTTGCTGCGCAAAGGCAATGCGAGGTGCAGTACCACCAGTGGTCTGACTGATGGGGTAACGTAGTGCCACACATCTTCAAGGCAAGGACAACGCAGTACAGTCTCTCCAAGCTATAGACGGTGCGACAGATGGCAAAAGCGACACATGGCAAAAATGCGAATTCCAAGCGAAAACGCACTTACATCCCAAATCCGCCGACCCCAGAGGCGTGCGAGGGAAAGTGACCAACATTGAGGAAGGGCGGAGGAAAAGGAAAGGGTGAGAGGGGAGAGGAGGCAGGAAAAGGCAGCCTCACGCGGCGTCGACCAACCTGTCCCACGCGGCGTTGACCAACCTGCCCTCTCCCTCATGTGGCCACATCGGACGCCACCACCCTCAACGACCCTCGGAGACCTGGAGTCCATGTAGAGAAGCGACCTCGCACCCAGACTTTTCCAGTGCCTTGACGTAGGGCTGCGGCCAGTAAGGTGTGGACTTGACAGAGTAATACGCAACGCGGATGTCCTCGTCCGACATGTTGATTGATCGCCTAAAACCGGCGTTCACCTTGGTGGGAGTCGCCTGGGCCCGCTTGTAGATATGGCGCGCAAGTTGGGACGAGTTGTCTACCTTCAAGCCCCACGAGTTCTCGACCTTCAAGCCACTCTGCGGAAGGCAGGCTAGCACGTTGTCAATTGTGTCGTAGTCGAACATAAATGTGTGAAAATCTCGACTGCGAACCATCCACTCTTTTATCCAAATGTGAGGGCCCTGTCCCAATTCGGCCTTTTGATTGCGCAGGGCCATTTTCAGCCACATGAAATTCCCGCACGCGTCGGGGCAGGCCTCTTCCTCACATCTATGTTTGCCCGCCTCCACCCAACACACTTGCTGGAGCGCAGACCTTAACCACGACATTTCCTCACGAATAGGCAATAAGAAAAGCGTCTTCCGCGCGCACGGACTTTTCAGAAGGCGACCCAGACCATCGAACAAGTGGGAGCCTGTAACGGCCCACTCACATTGATGCCGCTGCGCTGAGAGGGCAAGTTTGTCGCGTTCGTGGAAATCGAGGTTCCCAAAGAAGAAATCCACCACCGCGCCCCCCTGACACGCTGAGGCGTGGTAGAATGCCAAGTGCTGTGCCAGAGATCCGATGTCGTGATGTTTCGAAACGTGGTCCCTGGAAGTCTCGACCCATTCCCCAGGATCGGTTTTTCATCCTGAATCGTTTTCTGACGGTCCCGAGGCCCGGCGAGGGCCCCCAGGGGCCGAAATTAGCGAAAAACCTCCGTCCTGTTTTTTTCGATGCATTGGATATCTGGGTATGATGGGTATCTGAAGTCTGCCCCCCCCCCCCAACCACACCCCCACCCCCCCTCTACCCTAGCGGGGTGCCGCATGCACTCTTCCTCATCCTCCTCCCCCTGTCCTCCCTCCTCCTCCTCCTCCTCCTCCTCCTCCTCCTCTTCCTCCTCCTCCTCCCTGTTCCATCCCGTCCGTCCTCGTCATCGTCGTCGTCGTCGTCTTCCTCCTCGTCTTCCTCCTCATCCTCCTCCTCCTCATCCTCCTCCTTCTCCTACTCCTCCCCCCTCCTCCTCATCCTCCTCTCCTCCGCCTCCTCCTCCTCCTCCTCTTCCCCATCCTCCTCCTCCTCCTCCTCCTCCTCCTACTCTACTAATATACTACGACTACTAACGACTACTACGAATACGACTACGACTACGACTACACTACGACTAACGACACGATACTACTACTACTACGACCTACGACTACGACTACGACTACGACTACTACTACTACTACTACTACTACTACTACTACTACTACTACTACTACTACCTACTAACTACTACTACTACTACTACTACTACTACTACTACGACTACTACTACTACGACTACTACGACTACTACGACGACTACTACTACTACTACTACTACTACTAGTACTAGTACTACTTCTACTACTACTCTACTACCTACTACTACTGGCTACTGCTATTGCTACTGCTACTGCTACTGCTACTGCTACTGCTACTGCTACTGACTGCGACTGCTGTCTGCTGCTGCTGCTGCTGCTGCTGCTGCTGCTGCTGCTGCTGCTGCTGCTGCTAATACTAGTAGTACTACTACTACTACTACTACTACCACCACCACCACCACCACCACCACCACCACCACCACCACCACCACCACCACTACTACTACTACTACTGTTGCTGCTGTTGCTGCTACTACTACTACTAATACTACTCCTGCTGCTGCTGCTGCTGCTACTACTACTACTACTAATACTACGAATACTACTATTACCACTACTACAACTACTACAACTACTACTACTACTACTACTACTACTACTACTACTACTACTACTACTACCTATACTACTACTACCTACTACTTACTACTACTACTACTACTACTACTACTACTACTACTACTACTACTACTACTACTACTACCACTACTGCTG